TCATCCCTGAAAAAAGCGCTACTTTGTACATTAGATTGTCCACGTCATTCAAATTAACTCGTTTATGCATGGAAACTTGTTAAATAAACCTGAGTAAAATCTATGATGTTCAGGTGTGTGAAATGTGAAGTCACATGTTTGAACTTTTAATTAAATCAGAATGTTTGGTTCATACTAGAATTGCAACCTTAGGATCAATTTCTTGCTATTGTATCATTTATACTCCCACCTTTTTTCTGAAAATTCAGGGTGGCTTACATGGAGGTTCCCCTAATTTTATCTCTATAACGATTCTATGAAGTAGGATGGGTTGTGAGAGGATGACTGACCCAAAGTACTATGGTAAGTCCATAGAAATTTGGAAGGTTTCAACTTAAGCCCTCCAGGTCCAAATAAAAATCTGAATCACATGACACTGGGACTATTGTTCTGCTCTGAACATATTTTCAGTTTTGCTCCAGTTTTGCCAATTAAAGACAAACTTTGACATTCTCAAACTAATTATTTTGGAATGTGGGAGGGCCCCTAAATAAATCTATTGTCCCAAATATAAATAGGCACCGTTATTCTCATAAGGGACAAAAACTACAACTATTCACAAGAAAAATGACACGTAAAGCAATAATGCACAAAGGAGGACTCTTTTACCGTCCCATAGGGAGGTTTCTACTTGCAAGACCAGCAACTGTCTATGAATACTGGTGCAGGAGAAGAACAGACTTAACATTTCAGCATGTAAACAGTTTAATTAAGGTACTATATTCCAGTGAACCTCCATCTGTGCCCCTCATCCCCATGTTAAATACATGTTTTACATCACTTTCCAAAGAGCTCAGAGCAATTTTCTTATAGTTCACAGACCTTAGGGAGTCAAAAGCACTTGATCTCAGCAACAGTGAACTACACCATGTGCCTTAAGACCATTCTGTGGCAAGGTATGTCCAATTGCTTAATATTCTTGCCCCTTTATTCTAGCTTTTCAAAGGCTCAAAGTCAACAATCCAGTGCAAATGTACAGCTGAAGCATATAAAATCCATGAATCAAAATGGCAGAACTTCTACAGAACTTCTGTAACAGAAACCTTGTTAAAATTACATGCGTGCCAAAGCAACAGGAAGATGAAAGAATACAAAATCCTTGCTTGGAATAAAGAATATGGTTCAAAGCAGAGAGGTGAATAGATGGGCATTTAAATGCAAGATGTCAGCAGATCTCATGTAAGACATGAATGTCTAAACAAAGAGTGTCATATTTAGAATGCTTTTGTAGCGATTTCAGTAGCATCAGCAGTACTATAAAAGTCAATAAACTTAATAGATCCATTTAAGAGTGAAAAGCAGTCCAAGAGGTCTAATCAAGTTTTCTTTATCCATGTAAATGGCAGCAGCTTTACAGTCTAGCAGGTGCAAGTAGGAAAACCTAAGATAACTCCCTAGAAAAAGGTTCATACGTTGAGTTCAGTCACAGTAACAGAAGTAAAAACAAGTTACTCATTAAATAAGGTATGTATGGGAACATGTTTTTTAACTTGGAAAATAAGACCCACTGAGATGCTGATATGAATACCGAAGCAAATCTTTTCAAGCTGGAATTGCTTCCAAAGCAATGAGGCTTTCAACACCTGAATAGTCATCTGGGATGAAGAAAGTTTCCAAAAATATGTGAAAGTAATTGCAGTATATTATGCTGCTTCAGAAAGCATCTTGGCTAATCTCACATTTCTGAGTGTCAGAAAATCTTATTCAGGTATTATTATGTAAGGTATACCTGTGAGGAAAGGAACAAGAAGAGATCATGCCTGCTCCACCCATAATTTCTGTCAGCCTTGCTTGCAGGAAGGTGGCTGCCTACAACAGAAAACCTTCAGTATCAGTGAAGGCTCTGCTAACAATTTGGAACCTTGATTTTCCATGATGAGGAACAATATAGAAAGGCTGTGGCTGCAGAAGGTTCTCCAGTGAAGATTCACCTTTCTACATATGAAGATGATGAAAACTATGGAGGAATGAAGGTAGCATGCCCATACCCTCTTTGCTCATACAACTTATTACGTGAAAGGAATGCTTGATGAGGGCCTAAATTACCTACAAAATCTCAAATTAGCCCTCAGCATGCCAGCCAACCTTAACAACAAAACTTTCTAAAACATTCATATCTATACCTTTCTTTCTGAACTATTAGCTAACAAATACTAAACATAGAAGTTTCATTTAGTACACTCACATCTATTTTATTTGAATGATGGCAAAAATGCCACTTATATAGGTAAAAACACAGGTTAGAAGTAAATGTTTTATTCTTTCAACTAAATTCCAGTACTACAAGGGCAGTAAAACAATGATACACTGAAAAATTGCAGCAATAAACATTTGTTAAAGACTGATAGAATAAATAAAACCTACAAAAATGAGAACTTATATAAACCCATTCTTAACCCCCCAAAAAGTCATGGAATACAAAAATGCCCTCCTTCACTATTTCACAGGCAGTACTGTGGGCTATTTGCTTAGAAGTTGTCCAGGGATTACATTCTAATTTAACTGTGAATACAACTTTGCAGTGCACAGTTATGAAAACCACACTAACTTCAGTCAGAAGTGTCATTCTACACTTTTATTTACACAACCAGTTAAGGGCAGAGTTCTAGTACACCAGCTTTAATCCTTTTACTTTTCAAACTTATTAACAGAAGCCAAATTGTAATGATACAGCAAATGAGACCACTGGTATTAACAGGTAGCAAAGGTCCACATCCAGGTGGTACTGACATCAGGGAGCACTCCAAAACCAGTTGCTGCATAAGAGTGGTTGCCACTGACAAAAGCTTGAAATAACCAGTGTATACAGAGGGGGGAGAGGGAATATGGCATTGTTGCAAGTCTTTAAAGGACAGCTTGCAACAATAGAACAGGGTTTCAGGGCTGCCCACATATGCAGAAAACATGATTCATGAAACATCTGAAAAGAAAAGAAGAATCAAGTCAAGAAACAATATAACTGAAGAATTTACACAACAACTGAAACACAGCATGTATAAGAAACCCAGTTTCTTTAAAGCTATATCCCTGTGAGGGTCACCCCACTTTTGGGTGCTTCCGCTCTCAGAAAGAATAAAGAAATAATCTCCACAGTTCCACTCCACCCCATTTACCTTCTCAAACCACCAAAATCTGCCCCCAAATCTAAGATCAGCAAGGAAGATAGCTTAAAATACTTACAACTTGCAGGCTGTTCTCCATATCGTCGCATGATCTGGTCATGCGTAAACTTCACAAATGCGTCATACTGTTCTGTGATCAAGGAATATTTAAAGTAAGGTACTAAACATAAAAGCACTTCTCTACAAGACAACGCAAGGAAAAAGACCTTTCACTTTAAACAATGCATACAGAGATGGAATTTAATGTTTGGGATACACACATGAATGTGCTTGCTGAAACATGAATCTCCCTTATTCTTCTCCCTGTATGCCTTTAACATTTGTTGTGAGGGTTGTGGAATTGTACACAACCGTCACAACAAATGAGATATACAAGGACATGTCAAGGGGATGATGAATTGCCTCCCCTTGTTCCACTAATGAAAATAAACCACTGAACTCTGTTCTATCCATACTATACTAGCTCCTCCAGTATCATGACTAAACAAATGGGCATTTTTTTCCCAGTCTAGGGGCCACACCTTTTTGGATGGCCTCCAATGGTCACAAGTGACATCATGCTGCTGCAGTATTTTAATATACAGTTTTGGTTAGCACTGAACATTATTTTCTTAAGTATGCAGAACAGGCTAACAGCATATTACCAAGATTTTATTAAACTGTTTCTAATCATCTTAAGGACAAATGCTTTAAGAAATTAACTCAAATAGCATTTCTACTGTATGTAATGTATGGGGATATATGCAAATATGTCCAACTGCTGGCATAACCATTATGCCTTTCCTCCATTCCACAGGGCTAAGGACATCACTGAATAGACTAGGGGACTACAGGAGACAAGGGAAAAAGTTCTATTGCACAACTGAAACCTGCTCACATAAAATTGGATATAGCTCACACTCTCTACATACACAAAAAACAGATTCTACCCTTTTGTAACTTTATTTCAATTGGCTACAAGAGCTAAAGTAGGTGACTGGCATCCTTGTTACTAGTGAATGATACTGAAAATGTAAGGAAATTTGCGGCATATTGTAACTGTTAATGTTTCTTAACTAATATTTAGTTAAATGCTTTTCTAAGGAAATTTGAGTTAACACAGATAACGCTGATACTTACAGCATCATATCTTCTCCTTCGGCCTCATAAACTGCAATTTGTCAAGCTAAGTAAGAAGTAAGCAACCTAGAGGCCACCAAATGTTAGCTAAGAACATTCAGAATTCCTGAACATTAATCTTTGCTGTGGCTAAAAATAGTTAAAAACATCTAAAGAGCAAAATAATTTAACAATTAAGTGGTATAAATCATCCATGCTGTTTCTGCAAAGCAGAAAGGTCCTTATCTGAGGCCAGGGCAAAGCACAGTGACTGCCCAGCCAGAAAAATGTAGTCATACAACATCTTGTATCACCAGCCAAGCGTCAGGATGAACAAATCATAGTGAAAAATATAACAGCTGACATTATACATTTTGTTTGTTTTTACCATACCTGCAAGTTTTGTGGTCAAGATTTCTTCATACTCTTCACGGATTTTCTCTTCACGTTCTTTGAGCAAGCGTTCACAGATCATTCCAACTTGTCTGAGAGTAAAGAGGGGCTGTTCTTTTTTCAGTGGTGATGATGCTGCAGATGAAGTACCTTTGAAAAATTTTTCCAGAGTTAATTCAAGTATGTTTTAGAAGATTTTCTAGAAGATTAATGTAGATAACAGTTCACTTTAAAGTATTTTGAGAATCAGATTACAGCAGTAACAGCAACTTTAACTCTAATAAAAATGGCTCCATTTATAGTCCACTGATTTCAGTAGACTTTAAGTACAAGCCTCTGAATTATTGTGCATGTATTAAAATCAGTAGCTAGAACTATGGAGACAGTTTGGTGTAGTGGTTAAGGCACTGTGCTAGAGACCAGGAGAGTGTGCGTTCTAGTCCTCCCATGAAGCAGCTGGTGACCTTGGGCCAGTCGCTCTCTCTCAGCCCTAGGAAGGAGGCAATGGTGAAAAGCTTGCCAAGAAAACTGCAGGGACTAGACCAGGCAGTCACCAGGAGCCAAAAACTGACTTGAAGGCACACACACACACAGAAGTAGTTAGAACTACGGAAGCATGTCTATCAGATGTAGTAACCCAGAAACTGTAAGCTTCTAGAAACTATTTAGAAGTTTTATTTACAGTGGCTCAAAATTAATGTGACCCAGAATTCTCATGAATTCCACTCACACAATGCACCCTTGAAGGCAGGAGAAGGGAGACAGATTTCACTGATTTTTCTTTCCCCTCACAGCCCCCCTACCCCAGCTGTCTTTATTTTGTTAGATGAACACCCTGCCTTTTTGCTAGAAGTTTAAGGAGGCAAACCATGGAGTAGGTTGGGTTGGGCAAGTGACTAGCCCAAAGACAGCTTCCATGGCAGAAGGTGGACTAGAACCTGAGTCTTCCCAGTCTTAATCCAACACTTTAACCACTAGACCACCTGTTTCTCACATTTCTCCTTAAGCCAACCATGATTAGGCAGTATCATAGCAATGCTCCCAGGGAAGTGACAATGAATAGTGAGAGTTACTATTGTTAGAGTCCCTTCCAAAAATGAAAGAAGGTCCAATTCAATTGGCTTATGAACATAAAATATGGGTTATTCCAAGTCCATTTCTCATGCCAAATTCATTCAGTGAAAGATGGGAAAAGGATATAACTAAAATAAGCAGTTCATCATTAAAAATATTACTCTGAAAACCTGAAAGTTGTAAAACTTTGGAGTCACAAGTTGCACACATAGCAAGTTTGCAGAACTCCTGATTTTAGCATTCTTACACTTAATTTCCAGCTTCTTCTCTATATTTCCCTCACACTAATAGCTCTGTACGTAACATACATTTTAATGTAGTTTATACATCCAAAGCAATAATTCGATTGTCTCTTATGTTAGCCTTCCCAAGCTGAATCTTCAGATCAATCCAATTCTTTATAAACTACAACCTGGCTGTGATTAGTAAAAATGTTATTGTTCACACATATATTCTTTCCTCAGAATAGCACAGATACAAATCTAGCTGTCCATTGTTTGTTTAAGTATCGTATAACACCATTTGGGGGTTTGTGCTAACCATGGGATTTAACCTAAACAAATCATGGGTTCAACCAGTGAGACCTAACAGTTGCCCTGTAATAGTCAACTTCAACATTATTTCAATGTTTTATGGGCAAAATATAAAGTGTATCTCCTAAATAAGCTTTGAGCAACATCCAACATTATTCTATTCAACGTGCCAGTTATATTTAAAGCCCTATATGGTTTGACAAATGGACACCTACAGGACTGTCTATCGACCCAGTTTTGGCCTGAGGGAAGGAATGCTGTGAGCTCCTACTCAATGGAAGATAAAGGGTGTGAGGACTGACGATGTACTTTCTCAGTGTCTGCCCCTGTCTTTTAAACTGCTCTGCCTCCCAAGCTGAGGAATGCCCCCAACCTGCAGGCCTTCAAGTTCTTATTGCACTATGTGTATGGGTACTGATCATTCTTGGGCTGCCTTCATTAATCAGATTTGTTCATGGTTTAAATTGTTTTTGCTTGTACTGTAAGCTATCTCAAGCCTGTTCATAAGTTGAGATTCTATAAATAAAATGAAAAAAAAAAATCTCTGCTTCTCTTTTCCATTCTCCCTCTCTCTCTCTACTGTACCAGCCTACTCCCACAAGTTTGCTCTGGAAGATCTCTAACCTGGGAAGCATGGCTCAAACTGCTGGGACACAAAAACCTGCTCTGCTAGTAGTATCCATTCAGCTGGATAAACATTATTAAATTTTAGCTTAAACTCATTCTAATACCACCAATACAGCACTGTGATTCTTTTGATTCATCCTATTTAGAGAAAAACTCAATCTGATCCAAATTCGAATGCATTCCAACTTATTCTAAAATCCTCACCTGGCAAAGCTGGTCCAGAAAGGAGAAATGCTTGTGACTGTGCATCAGTAGAACAACAAGGATCTGTTTGGTGAAAGTTTTCTAGATGTCTTCTCTTCTGCATGCGTTTGTATTCCTGTTTTATATTGTACAGAATTTGCTCTAGAAAAAGGAAATGCATTCACTATGATTATGAATTATATTTCAGTGATTTCAAAACCCAAGTATGTACATACAGTCAGGTCCAGAAATATTGGGACATCGACACAATTCTAACATCTTTGGCTCTATACACCACCAAGTGGAATGTTATGCAATGGCCAAGTCAGTCACCTGACCTGAATCCCATTGAGCATGCATTTTACTGTATTTCCTGTAAAGCAGTTAAATGTCCTTGGAGATACAGTAGGCTTGCAAAAGTATAATTGTTTGGAAGTGGAATGTTATGCAATGGCCAAGTCAGTCACCTGACCTGAATCCCATTGAGCATGCATTTTACTGTATTTCCTGTAAAGCAGTTAAATGTCCTTGGAGATACAGTAGGCTTGCAAAAGTATAATTGTTTGGAAGTGGAATGTTATGCAATGGCCAAGTCAGTCACCTGACCTGAATCCCATTGAGCATGCATTTTACTGTATTTCCTGTAAAGCAGTTAAATGTCCTTGGAGATACAGTAGGCTTGCAAAAGTATAATTGTTTGGAAGTGGAATGTTATGCAATGGCCAAGTCAGTCACCTGACCTGAATCCCATTGAGCATGCATTTTACTGTATTTCCTGTAAAGCAGTTAAATGTCCTTGGAGATACAGTAGGCTTGCAAAAGTATAATTGTTTGGAAGTGGAATGTTATGCAATGGCCAAGTCAGTCACCTGACCTGAATCCCATTGAGCATGCATTTTACTGTATTTCCTGTAAAGCAGTTAAATGTCCTTGGAGATACAGTAGGCTTGCAAAAGTATAATTGTTTGGAAGTGGAATGTTATGCAATGGCCAAGTCAGTCACCTGACCTGAATCCCATTGAGCATGCATTTTACTGTATTTCCTGTAAAGCAGTTAAATGTCCTTGGAGATACAGTAGGCTTGCAAAAGTATAATTGTTTGGAAGTGGAATGTTATGCAATGGCCAAGTCAGTCACCTGACCTGAATCCCATTGAGCATGCATTGTGGTGTATAGAGCCAAAGATGTTAGAATTGTGTCGATGTCCCAATATTTCTGGACCTGACTGTATATTACAGTAAATCAAGTAAATTAAGGGTATACACTTGTAGATTTCCTCCTAAAAGTCATACTACAATTTCCAACCCTATTCCCCATTCAGATTCCTACAAGACACAGATGGAGATAATAGAAAATGGCATTAGGCCCACTGATAGTTTCTGATGTTCTCCACTTTTCCATAGAAAGTAGCAAGAAAATTAGATCATAACCATTAATCATGTATTCTTCCCACAACACAGCACTAGTGAAAACATAATGCATATATCTTTCCAGGTTTGGAGACTCAGAAAGGTGTAAAATGTGCTTCTTTTATTCCTGCACATATATAACATGCTTCCACAAGATAATTAGGTTACATTACTGAAACATCCACAGTTTTTGCAATAATTATTCACTGCATATGTATTAGTATCTTCAGTAAGTGCAAGCAAGTGCCATACTTACTGAAAGCCACTATGATATGCACCATTTTATCTGCTGAGAGAATTCAGCAGCATATATCTTTCTTCTCCCTTATCCAAAACAGAATGATTAGCATCCACAGAAGCAGCCACTATTCTATTATATAAGAATCTTTCTTGCCCCAAGTGACCAAACAATTATACTTTTGCAAGCCTACTGTATCTCCAAGGACATTTAACTGCTTTACAGGAAATACAGTAATGTATTTACACTGTCAGTAAATTATATATCCAGCACCAAGATTATAATAAAAAGCATTATTTTAAATTATCTATATATAAAATTAGTAACATGTTGAATGTCAACCCCTTGCAATTCACACAAAAACTCTGCCTCTCTCCAATCTACTATTTTGGAGTCTAGATGAGCAAAGACTCATGGTTGCTGGTGGGTAATATCCTTCAATTTACCAAATAACCTCCCTTGCTGGAGACTTCATCTATTCTTACAGGCATTCCCAATGGAAGCTTAGTTTAATAGTTCTCAATAACTAATTGCATAAATTTACATCCAGAGAAAATATTGAAAAGAAACAAAAACATTAGAAACAATCTTAGATGTACAATCTTCCAGCTAGGGAATCTAATCTGAGAAAACTGTGAGCCAGTATTTTACAACTGCTGCAACAATTTCTTAGGCAAACAATTTCATTCAAGGGACCACTGGTGGCTATAGTGGACATAAGGATATCCATATCAGCAACATGTGACTAGAATATACCAACTAGCCACCCTTGCTAAAATTATTAGTAACTTGGCATTTACTACTGAAGCGTACTCTGTATTTACATTGCTAAAGGCAGGAATCTTATTCTCCCTCTTAATTGTCCCGTGGTAGAGTTGCAGTTCCTCCTACCAAAAGGACTTAGCAAAAGTTACTGCAGAAAAGAAAAGCTACCAATTTGCAAGAATCTGGTTTCAACTCAACCATAAACCTGCTAAATATGCCTTCATCAAGTCATAGTCTCACAGCTTATTCCACACATCAGCCACATGAAGGATAATATAAATTTCCCTTCAGGTCAGACAAAAATCAATACCTTTTTATAAAATAAATCTATTTTATAAAATTGAAAGTAGAAAGTAGATTAAAAAGTTCTATAAACAGTTCATAAAAATGATTAGAATTAAAAAAAATCTAATTATATTCTAGTCTCCTAGGTAATATGAAGATGAGAACAGTTAACAAACTGCTCTAAAAGTGCAACGACAAAGAAAGTCAATGAATAAACAATATATGATGGAGTATACCTGGACAAGGGGGAAGAGCCTGAATATGAATTCAAAGAAGATAAAGTGAAATAAAATGGTGAACAGAATACATTCCAGCAATCTTTAGCACTTGAGGAAAAAGCTTATGTCCTGAAGTATGTCATCAACTGACTTAAACCTAATCATGGCTGCAGGCCATAAAAGTCACATTTGGAGATATTTTAATGAGGGTCCTAGCACAGAAAATAGAAATGAAGCAGCAGCAAAACAAAACAAAAACCATGTATCAAAAAAATGGAACACCTTCCTTACCAAAGCAGTTAATTACCAAGAAATGAACAGAATGCACTGCAACATCTTTACAAGAAATAACAATACACCTATAACTACCAAAATAATTTCAAATGCTTAGTATATAGCTTTATCAGAGATAATCCTATGAATTTGTCCAAGATCAAAAGAAATTCAGAAGAAACTGAAGATCAGCATGTGTGGTTGCAGTATTCCATTAATATAGCAAAAGACTTTGGTGCTCTAAAAAAGGCCAACCTAGTACATGTAAAGTAACCAGTTTGCAGCTGATACCTTGAACAAAGCAGGGAAATCTAAATCTTTCACACAAGGTATTTGATGTTAGTACTTCAGTGAACTGTTGATTTATCAAAACCTAGCTAATACAAATTGCATGTGTGTTTTTCTTCTCTCTGCACCTTTCCTGTCACTCTTCTTAGTTGCTGAGGAAGGGCACAATAGCTATTGCTCTAACCACTGGTTGGCCATCTCAGTTGTTGCAGGATCCAAGTGATCCAAGATCCTTAAATCAGGATCCTTAAAAAAAAAACACCAAACTTTAAACTGGCAAGGGGAGCAAACATTGAAAGGAGTCCTCCTGAAGAAAAAAAGAATGAAAAACCTTTTCCAACTGTTTTCTCAGCTGAAGAGGACCTAACCCTAGCACTGGTTCTATAACTTAAACCACCTGAAATATGGAATTATCAGTGTCAATATTCCCAACATGGGGCTAAAAATTGCTGATGAGTTTTTAAAAAGCCATATTACTGACTGTAGTGATCTACCTTTTAATAGCAGTAGACTATCCCGCTGGTACAGAAAGAATCTGGAGTAATTCATTCAAAACACAAAGAATTTGGAATCAGAAAAAACAGTAACTCTTGTATTTCCTTTCCAGAAAAAACAGCAAATCTTGTATTACTCTTACCAAAGAGGAATATTTTATTAATAAAGACTGAAGACTATATTCACCATCCAACCTATATTTTAAGATTCTTGTCCCAAGAGGGCTGATTGTTATCTGTTTAAAAAATAAAAAAATGCTTATAAAGGTTTTGTTAAAGTAACAGTATTCTGTTTTCTGAAGAAAGGTAGTCATAATAAACATGATTATTAATACAATTTTAAAGAGAATGGCTGTTCTCCTAGTATATAATGGCAAAAATATTAACATTCAATGCCATTACTAAACTTGAGCTGATTTAACTCCTAGTGACTTCACTAATATATCAGTGCTTGGTACTAAATTCATCATTATTCACCAAATAATTATTTTATATATGACATGTATTGTCTAAAACAAAACTTTTAAAATGTTTGCATTTTTTATCAAACACCAAAAATGCATTTTCACTATAAATGAGGATATAATTTTCCTAATTAAAACACTGTGGTTTAAATTATTTACTTCAGTTTAAATAATTTAAATAATTATTTAATTCTAAATAATGATTTAATGTATTGGATTAAATCCTCCCTACTTCCTTTAGAAGACTGTTGTTAAATGTAGCTAGATAATGGGCTTATACTTAAACAATATGCATGCTCATGAAGATCTGCCAACAAAAAGGGACACATCTAGGACCTGCAAAGATAATGTCAGGAAAGCTAAAGCTTGAAATGAGTTGAGGTTAGTGAAGGATGCTAAGAACAATAACAACAAGGGCTTCTTTGAGTATCTTCAAAATAAAAGGAAAAGAATCAATGTACCAGCTGCTTAGAAAGACACAGAAATGCTGATAAATAAAAGGGAAAGCTACTTTCAGTCTTTAATAAAAAAAAAAAAATCTGTGGTTCACCAGGAAACTGTGAGGAGCAGAATAAAGTGGCAAAGCTGAAACTTCAGTCTGATAGAAATGTTAAATTTCAAAGTAAACTGCATGTTAGATTACTAACTAGCTAATGGCCAGATCAACCTTCTGTGTTTTTTTTATATAGAATTCCTGGAGATATGGTGAAGAGCCAAATAACTAAAAA